AACATTGTGTCTATTTCGACCCTCAGAGACGGAAACTTACTAATGCTAGTTAAATCTCAAGCCGACGCCCAAAAGTTTATTAACACTACCGAGCTTACTGGTATATGCAAAATTAAGTGCAAGCTCCACGAGGCCCTCAATTTTGTAAAAGGAACTGTTTATGCCCCGTACCTCAGTGACATCCCCGAAAAAGAAATCGTCGACGAACTTAAGTCACAAAAAGTGACCGACGTGTACAAATTTATGAAATCACATGATGGTGTGTCCAAACCGAGTGGAGTCATCCTACTAACCTTTGAACTCTATAATCTCCCAACTAAAATCGAAATTTCTTGGCACTCTGTAAAAGTCCGCGAATACACACCCAACCCCATGAGATGCAAGTCTTGCCAATTGCTTGGACACACAACCAAGCACTGCAAAAACTCTCCCCGTTGCTCTGAATGCGCCCTTCCCCCCCCATGTCCCAAACAAATGCACGAAAATTAACTGCGCCAATTGCTCTGGCGAGCACTCGGCCTCATCCCGATAATGCCCCAAGTACCAAGAACAAAAAGAAATACTAAGAATAAAAACTGTTAAAAAATGCACCATGCGTGAGGCCAAAACAATTTTCAAAACAACGTCACAAAATACGGTTAATACCGCTTCCTACTCTTTAGTAGTTAAAACAACACCAACACATCAACGCAGCGAAAACGCAAACAACAACAAAAACGAAATTAAAAAATCTTCTACTGACGAAGCCCCCAATAACTCCCTTTCCTCTTCTCTTTCCCCTTCCCCTTCCCCCTCCCCTTCTCCTACTCCCTCTCCCCAATCCCCTATCCCACCAAGCCCTTATCAGGTAGATCACTCTGCTCTACCTCTTCAAAACAAATATAACTTATCTCCTGCATCACTTGCACATTTAAATAAAATTCATGCTGAGCATGAAGAAAACAACCCAACTACTTCTCATATTCAAAATAAATCAGCCTCACACAAAAATAATTCTAATGCCCGAAAAACAAACAGCAGCTCCTCTGACGAAGCTATGAGCGATTCATAATTCATAATATTAAAACAAACAAAAATCAAATAACACCTGCCCTCTCTTCCTTTTAATGTCTATTAAACTAGTACAATGGAACATGAATGGTTATTTTAACAATTACCACGAATTACAACTTTTGATAAACGACACCAACCCGGATGTTATTTGCCTCCAGGAAACTCATTTAAAATCTAGCCTAACGAATATAGCTTTTCCCAAGCAATTTTCTGGTTACTTCCATAATTTTATCTCTAATACCTATGCCAAGCAAGGTGTTTGCATACTCGTTCGGAAAAGTATTCCACACAAGCCCATACCAATAAATGGCAGTACATGCTCTTTAGGTATTGAAATCCTGACACAACCCAATGTCTGTATTTTTAATACATATATACCTCCCTCTCAATCATTAGTAGCAAACGAAATTCTTAAAATTATAGACCTCACTAGCAAACCAATCCTATATGTCGGAGATTTTAATGCCTGGAGTCCAATGTGGGGGTCTCCCTCGCATAACTCTAGAGGACACCAAATAGAAGATGCCATAAACAAATCAATCTTAACTATCCTCAACGATGGCTCCACTACCCATCATTCCACTCACAACTCCTTCACGGCAATTGATCTTACATTAGTCTCCGCATCGCTGTTCCCTTTCTGTAAGTGGTCCGTAAAAGACTCTCTTTATGGAAGTGATCACTATCCCATAAGCACAGACATTCATTTTAGTACAATTTCTGAACGCATACCACCTCCTCCTAAATTTAAAGTAGATAAAGCCAATTGGAACCTGTACCGCGACAAATGCAAAGTTACCTTTAACTTTCTTGCTACCAATGATTTAAACCTATTCGCAGCCAAAATAATAAAAGGAATTAAAGCCGCTGCTAATGTTGCAATCCCGCAAACCAAACCTTCCCTACATCTGCGAAATGTTTCTTGGTGGAACAAAACGCTTCAAGATCTGAGGCAGCAAAAGCAATCCCTTTGGCATGCCTACAAACAAACTCGGAGCACTGCCGCTCTAATATCCTACAAAAAATCCAATGCTCTATTTAGATACCAATCCAAAATAGCAAAACGAGAATCTTTTGAAAGATTCACATCAAATATTTCTCCTCAAGCATCTACTAAGAAGACCTGGTCAGATTTAAATCGCCTAATTGGGAACTCATCAAATAGTCTCAGTCTCAGGACAATAAAGTATAAAAATGAAGAATTACATAACTCTGCAGACATGGGCGACGCTTTTGGGAATTTTTGGTCGGACTACTCAAAGGACGACAATTTTTCCCACCAATACAATACCCGTAAAAAAGAAATCCTGTCTCAGCAATACGAAAGAACGAAACTCTCCACTGCTTCTAAAGATCTGGACTCTAACTTTACCCTTAGTGAGCTCGAATATGCCCTTCAGTATGCAAAAGGAAAAACACCCGGTATAGACCGAATTTCATACCCAATGCTCAAACAGCTCCCTTCCGAAGCTAAGTACCGCCTACTAGAACTATATAACGCAATGCTCGCTAAAGGATCGTACCCCCATGTGTGGAAATCCGCTATTATCATCCCAATCTTAAAACCAAATAAACCAACCAATGAAATAACATCATTTAGACCTATTTCCCTACTCCCCTGCCTAAGCAAGACCCTAGAAAAAATGTTAGCTAAAAGACTTATGTGGTTCATCACAAAACATAAACTCATCAGCCCCCACCAAACAGCTTTTAAACAACAGCATAGCACTCTTGATTCTCTCCTGCATCTCCACCATTATGCATCGGATGCCCTTTCTACCAAAAATCATGTTACCATACTGGCAACTGATTTTGAAAGGGCTTTCGATCGCATAGGGGTGCACACAGTATTGGATCAACTTTCCCGGTGGGGGGTAGGTCAAAAGACCTTCAACTTGGCGAAGGCTTTCATGATCAACCGTTCAATCCGAGTAAGAGTAAACAACACTCTATCTAAATTCTATACTCTCCACAATGGCATCCCACAAGGATCGCCCCTCTCTGTGGTATTGTTCATGATCGCCTTCCAGTCCTTAAACAACATTATTCTAAGATATAAACAAATTAAATTTTCAATTTATGCAGACGATGCCATAATCTATAGCAAATGTAAAAACACTACTACATTAAACATTCAGTTGAAAAAAATCCTTAATGATATTCAAATTTGGGGGAACACTTCTGGTGCGACCCTTGCTGTAAATAAATGTAAACTCTTTCATATTTGTAAAAAACAACGCTGTACATATCCAACATTATCTTACAATAACATAAATATAGAAAACGTTCCTTACATTAAAATTCTTGGCCTGACAATTGATAAACGACTCACATTTAAACAACATTGTAACGAACTTAGGATTAATTTAAACAATAGACTTAACATTATTAAATTCTTAACATCTAAGCGCTCTTTCATCCACCCGACTACACTAATACAAGCGACGCGAGCTTTGATCCTGTCCAAAATCGAGTACGCCCTTCCTATCTATGGCTGGTGCGCGCCATCCAATCTAAAGAAAATCGTACCTCCTTATCACGCGGCCGTTAGGCGCAGCATTGGTGCTTTCCCAACGACCCCAACCAAATGCATCCTGGCCGAAGCAGGATTACCAGATGTTAAAACCAGAGTTTCGCAAACCACCTACAAACTAATACCCAAACTCATGTGCTCGACGAACACGATTCTTCTCAAGAACCTCGAAGTAGCCATAAAGCATCGTAGGAAATTCAAAGTCCAATCGGCGATACGCAGGTGTATATACTTTATGAAGAGACACCACATAGAAAAACCCTACCGCTGGAATAAAGTCATCCCGTCTCCGTTTTGGAAATTACATTCCACGGAAATTGACACCTCTCTCCACGATTTTCAAAAATCTAGGACTCCAATCACAATATTTAAGCAGCTATTCGAAGAAGTTACGCACAAGTACTCCGATCGGAAATGGTTTTATACAGACGGCTCAAAATCTGACGCCACAACATCCTTTGCAGTTGTGGACGAACGCGGATTAACTGTTTCATGGGGGCAGCTACCCCACCACTTCTCGGTGTTTACTGCAGAAGCAGTAGCCATTATTAAAGCAATTAAATTCGCCCTCGAACATAAAGGAAGATATATCATCTGCAGTGATAGCCTGTCCACCCTGCAAGGTGTTCAAAACTTCTACAACAACAACAACCTTCTATGCGAAATTCGTCACCTGTGCATCAAAAATCGTAGCAAAATTAAACTATTATGGGTCCCGGCGCATATAGGAATAACTGGAAACGAGTTAGCCGACAAAGCAGCAAAGCTAGCCGGACTGGCTCCGTGCCTAACAATCATACCTGGAGTACAACAGGACATCTGGAATAACATCAAAAAGATATTACTAGACATCGAATTGGAAGACTGGTCGTCTTTTAACCACTGGTATAAAAAGTCTAACCCCGACAAAAAAGTCACCAAATTACCAGTATCGTGCTCTAGAAGGGAATGCTCCATACTTACCCGATTAAAAACTGGACACACAAATCTCACACATAAGCACATCCTCAACGGCGAAAGGCAGGTGAACTGCCCTAACTGCGGGAACGAACTATCAGTCAAACATATACTAGATGAATGCGGACACTTTCATAACATCAGAACAAAACTCTTCGGTCCAACATCGCCCTCAAATCTTTTGGCTAACCTAACAACCATTAATTCAAATTTAATATTATCTTTTCTAAGCAAATGTAAAATTATACACCAAATTTAAACAGCTCTATCTATTTCCCTACATAATTCCCACTCTTACAAAGTTTAAAACCAGAAATATTCATGAAAATATAAATATCAATTGTCGAGTCGATGGCCACAGTAGCTAGTTACTCCCTATCTTTAAATTAAGTATTATATTATAAATACGTTTATGTATAATAGTTAATAATGAATAAATAAATAAATAATTTTAGCACTGTCACTTGGAACGATGTGGGGGATCTTCCAACTTATACTATTTATAGCAATATTATGGATTTTTCCATCAACATTTTTCACAAACATATCATCAGGGTTTTTCGTAAGTAACAGAACGAGCTCATGTTTACAGTTTAAAACGACTTTCTTATAGTCTTCAGCGAACCCCATCAACATTTTTAAAGGTACAGAAAAACTGAAATGTCCTCCAGAAGGGATATTGTCCCCGCCACTCCACCCCGCATTGCGATAAGCCGCTCCTTCCTGTTGGCCGACTGAGAGAAAGTTCTTAATAGTCGTTGTTATTCCTGTAAACCGCATCCTATCCAATTCACAACCATTCAATTCATATCTTATTTCATCCAGAAAATAGGCCATACAATTATTTTTGAGCAAACCGCTAACGCCATTTGTACTAGTCGTTCCTGTATTTGAGTCAATAATTCTGCTAAGCGTTCCTTCAAAATGGAGAAAACTTTCACATGGAAGGACATACAAATCTTGGTTTTTGCAAACTGATCCGTACTTCATCATTTGCTTTGAAGTTCTGCTGATATGGATAATATGAATGAAACTCTTTTTTAATAATAGATTCATCGTTAGCAGGCTTTTCCTGGACATAAAAGATCTCATTGGGTTTTCTACGCTTAACAAATCTGCATACTACGTTTAGGGCTTTTTTTCATTTCATTTTTCTCAATTTTTGAGAATTTTAATGATGGTACGTACCCCTTAGCAAATTTTGAGAAAATGGCTCAAAAAATTTTTTCCTTCGGATATGGCTAAATCGATTCTCCTGTTAATGCTGATCAAGAATATATATGGTTTATGGGGTCGGAAATGACTCCTTCAGCCAGAAAAAGTATTATTTTATATTTTAAAATCAAATTTTGGAGGACAATTCGGAAAGCTGTTCTGAATTGGGTTTTCTACGCTTAACAAATCTGCATACTGCGTTTAGGGCTTTTTATCATTTTATTTTTTCTCAATTTTTGAGAATTTTAAGAATCAAATTTTGAGAAAATGGCTCAAAAAAATTTTTCCTTCGGATATGGCTAAATCGATTCTCCTGTTAATGCTGATCAAGAATATATATGATTTATGGGGTCGGAAATGACTCCTTCAGCCAGAAAAAGTATTATTTTATATTTTGAAATCAAATTTTGGAGGACAATTCGGAAAGCTGTTCTGAATTGGGTTTTCTACGCTTAACAAATCTGCATACTACGTTTAGGGCTTTTTTCATTTCATTTTTTCTCAATTTTTGAGAATTTTAATGATGGTACGTACCCCTTAGCAAATTTTGAGAAAATGGCTCAAAAAATTTTTTCCTTCGGATATGGCTAAATCGATTCTCCTGTTAATGCTGATCAAGAATATATATGGTTTATGGGGTCGGAAATGACTCCTTCAGCCAGAAAAAGTATTATTTTATATTTTGAAATAAAATTTTGGAGGACAATTCGGAAAGCTGTTCTGAATTGGGTTTTCTACGCTTAACAAATCTGCATACTACGTTTAGGGCTTTTTTCATTTCATTTTGTCTCAATTTTTGAGAATTTTAATGATGGTACGTACCCCTTAGCAAATTTTGAGAAAATGGCTCAAAAAATTTTTTCCTTCGGATATGGCTAAATCGATTCTCCTGTTAATGCTGATCAAGAATATATATGATTTATGGGGTCGGAAATGACTCCTTCAGCCAGAAAAGTATTATTTTATATTTTGAAATCAAATTTTGGAGGACAATTCGGAAAGCTGTTCTGAATTGGGTTTTCTACGCTTAACAAATCTGCATACTACGTTTAGGGCTTTTTTTCATTTCATTTCGTCTCAATTTTTGAGAATTTTAATGATGGTACGTACCCCTTAGCAAATTTTGAGAAAATGGCTCAAAAAATTTTTCCTTCGGATATGGCTAAATCGATTCTCCTGTTAATGCTGATCAAGAATATATATGGTTTATGGGGTCGGAAATGACTCCTTCAGCCAGAAAAAGTATTATTTTATATTTTGAAATAAAATTTTGGAGGACAATTCGGAAAGCTGTTCTGAATTGGGTTTTCTACGCTTAACAAATCTGCATACTACGTTTAGGGCTTTTTTCATTTCATTTTGTCTCAATTTTTGAGAATTTTAATGATGGTACGTACCCCTTAGCAAATTTTGAGAAAATGGCTCAAAAAATTTTTTCCTTCGGATATGGCTAAATCGATTCTCCTGTTAATGCTGATCAAGAATATATATGGTTTATGGGGTCGGAAATGACTCCTTCAGCCAGAAAAAGTATTATTTTATATTTTAAAATCAAATTTTGGAGGACAATTCGGAAAGCTGTTCTGAATTGGGTTTTCTACGCTTAACAAATCTGCATACTGCGTTTAGGGCTTTTTATCATTTTATTTTTTTCTCAATTTTTGAGAATTTTAAGAATCAAATTTTGAGAAAATGGCTCAAAAAAATTTTTCCTTCGGATATGGCTAAATCGATTCTCCTGTTAATGCTGATCAAGAATATATATGATTTATGGGGTCGGAAATGACTCCTTCAGCCAGAAAAGTATTATTTTATATTTTGAAATCAAATTTTGGAGGACAATTCGGAGAGCTGTTCTGAATTGGGTTTTCTACGCTTAACAAATCTGCATACTACATTTAGGGCTTTTTTCATTTCATTTTTTCTCAGTTTTTGAGAATTTTAATGATGGTACCCCTTATCAAATTTTGAGAAAATGGCTCAAAAAATTTTTCCTTCGGATATGGCTAAATCGATACTCTTCTGTTAATGATGATCAAGAATATATAAGATTTATGGGGTCGGAAATGACTCCTTCAGCCAGAAAAAAGTATTATTTTATATTTTGAAATCAAATTTTGGAGGACAATTCGGAAAGCTGTTCTGAATTGGGTTTTTTTACGCTTAACAAATCTGCATACTACATTTAGGGCTTTTTTTCATTTCATTTTTTCTCAATTTTTGAGAATTTTAATGATGGTACGTACCCCTTATCAAATTTTGAGAAAATGACTCAAAAAATTGTTTCCTTCGGATATGGCTAAATCGATTCTCCTGTTAATGCTGATCAAGAATATATATGATTTATGGGGTCGGAAATGACTCTTTCAGCCAGAAAAAGTATTATTTTATATTTTGAAATCAAATTTTGGAGGACAATTCGGAAAGCTGTTCTGAATTGGGTTTTCTACGCTTAACAAATCTGCATACTACGTTTAGGGCTTTTTTTCATTTCATTTTTTCTCAATTTTTGAGAATTTTAAGAATCAAATTTTGAGAAAATGGCTCAAAAAATTTTTTCCTTCGGATATGGCTAAATCGATTCTCCTGTTAATGCTGATCAAGAATATATATGATTTATGGGGTCGGAAATGACTCCTTCAGCCAGAAAAAGTATTATTTTATATTTTGAAATCAAATTTTGGAGGACAATTCGGAAAGCTGTTCTGAATTGGGTTTTCTACGCTTAACAAATCTGCATACTACATTTAGGGCTTTTTTTCATTTCATTTTTTCTCAATTTTTGAGAATTTTAATGATGGTACCCCTTATCAAATTTTGAGAAAATGGCTCAAAAAATTTTTCCCTTCGGATATGGCTAAATCGATTCTCCTGTTAATGATGATCAAGAATATACATGATTTATGGGGTCGGAAATGACTCTTTCAGCCAGAAAAAGTATTATTTTATATTTTAAAATCAAATTTTGGAGGACAATTCGGAAAGCTGTTCTGAATTGGGTTTTCTACGCTTAACAAATCTGCATACTACGTTTAGGGCTTTTTTTCATTTTATTTTTTCTCAATTTTTGAGAATTTTAAGAATCAAATTTTGAGAAAATGGCTCAAAAAATTTTTTCCTTCGGATATGGCTAAATCGATTCTCCTGTTAATGCTGATCAAGAATATATATGATTTATGGGGTCGGAAATGACTCCTTCAGCCAGAAAAAGTATTATTTTATATTTTGAAATCAAATTTTGGAGGACAATTCGGAAAGCTGTTCTGAATTGGGTTTTCTACGCTTAACAAATCTGCATACTACATTTAGGGCTTTTTTTCATTTCATTTTTTCTCAATTTTTGAGAATTTTAATGATGGTACCCCTTATCAAATTTTGAGAAAATGGCTCAAAAAATTTTTCCCTTCGGATATGGCTAAATCGATTCTCCTGTTAATGATGATCAAGAATATACATGATTTATGGGGTCGGAAATGACTCTTTCAGCCAGAAAAAGTATTATTTTATATTTTAAAATCAAATTTTGGAGGACAATTCGGAAAGCTGTTCTGAATTGGGTTTTCTACGCTTAACAAATCTGCATACTACGTTTAGGGCTTTTTTTTCATTTTATTTTTTCTCAATTTTTGAGAATTTTAAGAATCAAATTTTGAGAAAATGGCTCAAAAATTTTTTCCTTCGGATATGGCTAAGTCGATTCTCCTGTTAATGCTGATCAAGAATATATATGATTTATGGGGTCGGAAATGAATGCTTCAGCCAGAAAAAGTATTATTTTATATTTCGAAATCAAATTTTGGAGGACAATTCGGAAAGCTGTTCTGAATTGGGTTTTCTACGCTTAACAAATCTGCATAATACATTTAGGGCTTTTTTTCATTTCATTTTTTCTCAATTTTTGAGAATTTTAATGATGGTACCCCTTATCAAATTTTGAGAAAATGGCTCAAAAAATTTTTTCCTTCGGATATGGCTAAATCGATTCTCCTGTTAATGATGATCAAGAATATATATGATTTATGGGGTCGGAAATGACTCTTTCAGCCAGAAAAAGTATTATTTTATATTTTGAAATCAAATTTTGGAGGACAATTCGGAAAGCTGTTCTGAATTGGGTTTTCTACGCTTAACAAATCTGCATACTACGTTTAGGGCTTTTTTTCATTTCATTTTTTCTCAATTTTTGAGAATTTTAAGAATCAAATTTTGTGAAAACGGCTCAAAAAATTTTTTCCTTCGGATATGGCTAAGTCGATTCTCCTGTTAATGCTGATCAAGAATATATATGATTTATGGGGTCGGAAATGACTCCTTCAGCCAGAAAAAGTATTATTTTATATTTTGAAATCAAATTTTGGAGGACAATTCGGAGAGCTGTTCTGAATTGGGTTTTCTACGCTTAACAAATCTGCATACTACATTTAGGGCTTTTTTTCATTTCATTTTTTCTCAGTTTTTGAGAATTTTAATGATGGTACCCCTTATCAAATTTTGAGAAAATGGCTCAAAAAATTTTTTCCTTCGGATATGGCTAAATCGATACTCTTCTGTTAATGATGATCAAGAATATATAAGATTTATGGGGTCGGAAATGACTCCTTCAGCCAGAAAAAGTATTATTTTATATTTTGAAATCAAATTTTGGAGGACAATTCGGAAAGCTGTTCTGAATTGGGTTTTCTACGCTTAACAAATCTGCATACTACGTTTAGGGCTTTTT